CAGCAATCCAGCCCTGGGAAAGGGCTGCGTTTGCCACCGGTTGCTTTATTGGTGAGGCTCAGGGCTCGTCCCTCTGTGGCACTGCTGCCCAATGAAGGCAAAGGTTGGATGTTGGAGCTCTGATCCGCCCAGCAGTGGGATTCTTTTTGCTGGGAGAAAGAATGAAGCTTGAGTAAGTGGGAATAAATGGGTTAACCAGGAAAAAGGAGGATGTGTTTGCACCGTCAAAAATCACAGCAAACGGGAAACAGGGGAAACCGAGGATGGCACGGGCACTCGAGCTCCAGCGTTTCCCTGTTTCTCAACTCTCAATTTGGAAACCTCAGTGTTTTCCTTGCACTTTCAGAGAGGTCACTGCTCAGATTCAAAGGAAGAATCTGAATGTGCAAGGTTTGGGGGCTGCCTGCTTTGCTTTTAACCACTACAAATACTGAATGCAGCATCACTGCTGGGATTGAGACACTCATGCTACAGCAAAGGGCAGATGGGTGTTTCCTCCCACACCTTCAGACCTCTTGCTCTGTCACTTGGATATAAGGAAGGTTTTTATGCTAAAGGCAGCAAAGCACTGGCACAGGTTGCTCAGAGGGCAGCTTGCGTCCCATCCCTGCCAGCTTCTGCAGAATCTCTTCCATCTCTCCTTCTACCTCGGTGCACCAGGGGCAGCTCTGGGACATCTCCAGAGCAGCTCCATCCAAGGCTCAGCAGATCCCCTTCCAAGTTGGTCACACACACTGCTAAAAGAAAGAGGTGTTTTTCCTGACCACAGAGCTACACCAGCTGCTGCACTGGCAATATGCTATAGACTATCTGCATAAATCTAAGGAATGCTTGGTAGTGTTATTAATGTGCATATAATTTATTACTCTAAATTAGGGTTAACGTAATTATCTAGGTAATTAAAAGTAAAGGATGAAGTTCTCCCACATTCTTCAGCCTTTTCTGTAACACAGCATAACCATTTGCATCCATATTTTTGTCATGGATGCTCCATGCCATCAGCACATACATGAAGGGAAATATCTGCTTAACAAACAGCCCTCAGTCCCCAGGTGGAGATCCTAACCCCACCAGAGATGGACATTTCTATGACAACAGGACCCCCAGGGCCAAACAGGCACCTCACCACATTGATGTGTTAGAAAGATTTGGGAAAGCTCTGCTTTTCTCCTGGTTTTGTTGGGTGGGTGAGACATACAAGGAACCATTGGCCCCAGCTGGCAGCAAAGAGACAGTCACCATTTGCCACACAGAATCACAGAATGGCTTGGGTTGGCAGGGACCTCAAGGATCATGAATCTCCAACCCCCTGCCACAGGCAGGGCCGCCAACCTCCCTGTTTAATACCAGACCAGGCTGCCCAGGGCCCCATCCAACCTGGCCTCGAACACCTCCAGGGATGGATGGGGCATCCAAAGCCTCTCTGGGCAGCTGTTCCAGCACCTCACCACTCTCACAGCACAGAACTTCCCCCTGACATCCAACCTCAATCTTCCTTCCCTCAACTTCAAACCATTTCCCCTTGTCCTGCAGTTATCTCCCCTTCCAAAGTGTTGACTCCTCTCCTGTTTGTAGGCTCCCTTTAGGTACTGAAGGCTGCAATGAGGTCACCCTGCAGCCTTCTCTTCTCCAGGCTGAACGAGCCCAGCTCCCTCAGCCTGCCTTCATAGTGGAGGTGCTCCAGCCCCCCGATCATCTTTGTGGCTCCTCTGGATCCTCTCCAACAGCTCTCCATCTTTCCTGTACTGGGGGCTCCAGACCTGGACACAGCACTGCAGATGGGGCCTCACGAGAGCAGAGTGGAGAGGGACAACCACCTCCCTGCCCCTGCTGGCCACCCCTCTTCTGATGGAACCACCTTCCAATGGTGCTACAGCTGTGCAGAAAGGAGAAGGCACAAGCATGGGCACACTCACTGTGTATGGGCACTCTACAAGGCAGGCCCATGGCTTGGTTGCTGCCTAATGTGCATTATACAGAGGACAGACAGACAGACAGACGCCTCCTGCGTGAAAAGGCAAAACCTTTCCTTGTGAAGCCCTGCTTTGCTGTTTGCTGGCAACAAAGGCACGAGTCCAGCGCCAGGCAGAGAGCAGTTCCAAATAAACAAAGGCCAAATATTGGAAGGCACCAGCATGCGTGGCTCTCACTTGGAACAAAAGGAAGGAAGCTGGGTATAAATACTGGGAGGAGCATTGTGCACTGCAAGGCTGAGAGATGGGAAACTATTCTGCAGCAGTGATGCCTAAGCACGCTGGTGTAAGTGCTCAGCAAGAGGACAAGGAGACTTTGGGTTTATTTCCGGCTAGGATGAAGAGTTGGAACAGAGCTGGTGCAGGTGGTGGTCAGCCAAGCCTTGGCAAGAGTGTCCTCTATAGAGCCTCAGCCTCTTCAAACAGACAGCAGAGCAGCAGGCCAGGTAAAACATAGCTTCAGGTGCTCACCTTTCAGCTTGAGGCAGGGCTGGTGAGGGCTGTCCTTCCCCACCTGCTCTTTCAGTTGGTGGGGCATGGAAAGAAAGCAAATCCCTGATGCACAAACCCCTCCCCACAACAGCATTAAAGGAGGATGGCTCCCTCAATCACGACAAGCGAATAGGAAAGAAAACCAACACCTCAAAGCACGGAGGTGGGAGAATAAGGCTTCAGAAGGGCGGCAACGGCAGAACCGAGCTGCCAAGAATGACTTCAGCAGGGCTGGGAGGCAGCTGCCCTGGCACTGAAGGTGGACCAGCAAATAGCATTCAGCTGAGGAATGTGGTTCCTTCAGCCCTCTGCAGATCAGCAGTGGTCACACAGCCCTCAGCAGGACCACAACCAGGCAGATACCCAACAAGCAGACCAGCCAATGCTCCTGTTCCAGGAGGCCAAGCTCTCACAGGCCAGGAAAGAGTACTTCCCATCCGTGTATCACTTGTGAGCACCTGATCCCACCTCTCTCTCCTTCACAGCTACCAACCTGCATGCCATGCTCTCAGCAGCTGCACAGCAGCTTTTCCCTCCATCTGCACTGTGTAACTGTATTGCTTCCGATAGCAGCACAGGAGATAAACAAGAGCAACAACCCATTGTTCTAGCTGCAAGCTTGTTATGTAATGGTTGGCACCCCTATTTCAGCTTTTTGGAAAGGAGAGAGGGAAAAACCCAAATCATTCCCATTTCAGGGCAGCTTTCTCTATACAATACTCGATGAGAATAAGCTGCACAGCCTGTTAGTCACTCTAAAGCTGCTGCTCCAGGTGCCCCACTGCCACCTCTGCTCAGCTTGTCTCAGCCCACCAAAAAGCCTGTTAGGAAGAATATGACCAATCCATACTGATGAGTATTTTGCCTGGATGCTGTCATTCCATGCCATGAACAGCTCTGGTCATTAAGCACACAAAGAAATCCAAAGATCTGGAATGACTGTGGATACTGCAGAGCAAGAAGGCATGGGGGGGCATGGAAAGAGGAAGGGTGGGGTGTCAGGATGCACGGTACAAGTAAGATACTTGCATTTAAACAGCATTCAGCAGCTTCTGTAGTTAAATGATTCATCTTCCCAAACACGTGGGGCATTTGCCCTGTGCCAGGTGCCAAGCAGCAGGCTGGAGCCCAGCTGCAATTCACAGCTGATAACACTTCTTCTGTCACACTCTTTTTCTCCTCTTGCCAATGCATCCCCTTGGTTCACGTTCAGCTGTGTTCTGGTAGCTACTTTCAAAAAATATAATAATAATTACAGAGTTTCCCATGCTTACTTTACCTGGTATGGTAGAGCATACAGAGATACAAGTGCTGACATGTTTAACTAGGTGTGTAATTAATGGTTCCTTGTAATCAAGCTATTTCATCTAGCACAGTTACACCAGGTTATGATCAAGAGCAAGCATTGCTGTGCTCAGTCAGATTCAGTTCTTTGCTCACACAGAACACAACCCTTCCAAGTCATTAATGAAAGTGAGAAACTGAACATAAGCAGAAAGAAAAAAGTCAGGAACCAATTTCCCACCGTGGCACTGTAAGGAGTTTTTAAAAGATCCTATCTGCATGGTTTCCTTCTCTTTGTGACCATTTCTGATCCAGCAGCCCCAGGACCTGCAGGACATCAGCAGAACACAGCCAGTCAGCATGAAGTCACACTCTTCCCCACCAAAGCTGACAGTGCTTAGGTTCATTCTGTCGATTTGGTGCAGTGAATGCAATTCAAACTCTCCCACTCTGCGTTTACCATCAGTTATCAGACAGGGAGCAGGAATGGGATGCAGAGGACAGGCTGGCACACCTGGTACCAGGCAGCACTGCTGTGTATTGGCTCACAGCCCAGCCAGATTGAGTTCCACTCAGTTTCGTGCAGACTCACTCACAGCACACACATTGAGGACATTCATTAGAGGAATGTTCGTTGCTCCAGCAGCCCAGACCTCCCACCCCCTGCTCCTAGGACTAAACGAATTGCACTGATCATTCTTGTGCCCCATTGGTCAATTAATCTATAGAGCAAAACGAAAACCTGCAGCAGCTGGTGCCTCTTCTTTTTCATTTCATTTAAACCTGCTGTACCTTCACCCACACACCGTTCAGCAGAACTTCAAAGGTGGAATTATCTATTCCACCTACCTCCACAATGTGAGCAAACTGCCTCACCTGCTGCTGAGCTCCATTCATGATGACTGACCTCCACAGATGGAGATTTTATGGGAACCCCAGATGACTTTTGAAGAAGCTTAAGATGATGGAACAGGTTTGAAAAATTACCATTGAGAACAGCTGAGTCACCAATTATTTCAGGACATCCTCTATAATCAAACCATTCCCAATCCAGGTAATTGAACACCTTTTTTCTCTTTTCCTCCAGTGTCTGAGATATAAAAAAAGAGAATAAATCAGTAACAAGACAAAACTTCATGGCACCCATCTCCCATGGATGTACTGCATATCTGCCTGTTTTCTGTAACCAAAAGTACAAAAAAAATGGGTGCTTATTTTCCCTTACCAAGATAAGAAATGCAGACACATGAATGACACCTTTTTTTTTTTTTTTAAAGACTTTCAATATTTATAATAATTTCTGCAACACAAGTAAGAAGATTTATACAATAAAATTTTTAAACTGAAAATACTTTTTTCACAACATTGGAGCAAGCAGTGACTGCCATGTGTGCACTGTGGGGTAGGTCACTATCCAGAACAAAGACAACATCACAGCCAGGACCAGATGCTCTCCTGTAACTCCAAACTCATCCCATGACAATGAAAGGTTTCTGCACAGGTCTTTGCAAACGAATTAACAAACCAAATCTCTGCAGCTTCTGCATAGGAATCTCCATCCTTGAAAGATGGTAACATGACAACGTCAGTACAGTGACCTCAATATTTCAGCTATTAAACACGTAATCACCAAGATACACACAGATATGCACACAGGTACAGATGTCAGTATGATAACAAACAGTCCATCTACGCTCATAGATGCAGACTGAGCTTCAAGTCTCTGCTACACATTTGAGGATGGGCACTGACCAAGTCTCTGCTTCACACCCCTTGAAGCTGAGCTGGCACGTTCAAGGGAGGTGCATATCACAAGAACAGCCTTTGAGGATGATCTGGAATAAACAAGGGCAATGCTGATATTCCCTCACTGCTTGTTTATCTTTCTGTTTTTAAATATTAAAAAAAAAAACAACGTTAAACCAGACTTGCAAGGAGGACAAGAACCTAAAGCAGTAATACAACAAATAAAATGTGTATCTCATCTTCCTCCAGCACAATACAGAGGTTGGTTCCTCCTGAAGCAAGAAGAGAGGCATTGTCGGCAGAGGTCCGTTGGTGTGCGCACACAGCTGGCATGCCTGCTCCTGCCCCCATTCCTCCAAATGAGAGCTGTGGTCTGTTTCAAAGAATCCTGTCACCATTTACCAAAGGTGAAAGCCACCCCTCCCTTTCAACAACAGTGGTTTTGATGACAATTCAGTCCAAAAATCCAAGCCCAGCGTGCTGGTCACTGCTTTGCCTTCTTCACAATGGTGCCAACAGCTGATATGACTGTAGTTTTGGATCCACTTGCACTGGTTGTCACTGTGACAACTCCTGGCAGTGTGGCAGTAGTGGTGAGGATGGTGGGCTGAGCTATTGTTGTTACAGGGATGGCCGAGTCCCATTTGCTCTTCCTCTTCTGTGCATCTGCAAGTTTCATCAAGGAAACAAGGATTAGCATTGTGTTAAAAGTTGCACTAAATCTTTCCTAACAATCTGTCTCATCAACTCTTAATATACTCTGCTTGACTAGGCAGCTCACATCAATTCAGCATGCACTGCTTATAAATGCTGAGGAGGAAAAACAACCTTATAATCAGGAGTCAAACTCTACATGTGAACTCCAGCCAAATGGGAGACAGTTGACTCCTTGCCCCAAAGCATGTTTAATTTTAACACAGCACATGTTTTTCAGTTGCTCCAGCATGGGCACAAGACGCGCTCAGTCTTTAAAGTTTTAAAGGTTTCCAGTTTAAAAGGCAGGCTGTAGGCAAGAGAATAAGTTTTCAGTCTTCCAGTTCTCTACAGATGCATCAGTCCTAAGAACACTCCAACTACAGACATCACAGGATTTCCTGACACCCTAATAAAGCACTGCACTAACTGTCCTAGGCTTCCACTCTAGAAGGACAGCCATAGGATACAGGAACTAGAGGAAAGCTAGTCCTCTAGCACCTGAAAGAAACACTGTCTTGTATTATACAATCAGTAAGGAGCTCTCAGGGGTCCCAGGAACCCATGAAGCACAAATCCCAGCATTACTGCAGCTTAATACATATGGATGCAACTGGCCTTTACCTCCAACTGTAGTACTGGCTGTCGTGGTTGTTGTAGAGGCAGCACTTGTTGTTGTGCCCTTCTTAGTGCCAGTCACAAATTCAATCTGGGAAAGGAGACACAAATAGGAGGAGAAAGGGGAGAAGATAAAAAATAAAGTCTTAATTTATGGGGTTTTTTTTGTTTGTTTGTTTTAAAGAGAAAAAACCCTGCAGAAATTAAGCTACTGCTTTCGCATCACATGAGGCTTTGGTCTCAGAGCTGGCTGGCACACGGGAAGAAAGATGTAGACCTGAGGTCAAAGAGTCCTGAAGCCATAATCATCAATGTTCCCTGTGTCTCAGCTCTGAAGTCTGGTCTGATAATCTGTCTGTCAACTGCTACAAGCATAGGAATAACCCAGAAAGGACAGATCATGGTATTAAAATGTACATTTATATCATTAGGAAACCCTGTGTTTTTTCCTTTAAAAAACTTGTAGGACAAGTCCCTACCTGCATGATTTACTGCAACTGCATCACAGCAAGAAACCTAGCAACAAGAGTTACAACAGCATGCAATCCCAGTTTTCAAAACTGCAGATATGGGCGAGGACATAATCAGATACCTGGGTTACTGTGCCAAAAAACAAAACACGTAGCAAGATACAGCATGCACAGCACAAAAAGAAACCTCCAGGTACTGAGTTTTAAAGGAGCCTTCTGCAATATTAGAAAGCAGCCTCTCAGTTTCAGCTGGGTTTCAGTCTTCCAATGCCAGCTGCTAGCTAAAACACAACACCACTGCAGGACAGGGAAAAGATCCTCCAAAGCCCCTGTGTTCTTTCTAGGGGGTACCAGAGAATGCATGTTTTGTGCCCAGACATTCCCATTTAAAGTGAAAGTATGCTCAATATTACTGGATACTGGAAGCAAGACAGCAAGATCAAAGAGAATAAAAAGCCCATATTCTCTCACAATGAGGTATGATGAAATTAAACGACCAGGCTGCACCACCAGGCAAAGTGTCACAGATTAAGAAAAAGGCCATTCTTTGTGGAATATCTGGTTTGTAACTGGCTTATGGCACACCATGTTGTGAGCTCTGGCTTAAAAATACTGACAAAACAGGAACAAAGCCAGTGGAATAAACAGCCTAGAGAAATGGACCTATAAGGAAGGGCAAACAACTTGATGTGCACAGCTTGGAGAAAACATTGTGCAAGAAAAGACAGAACCAGGCAAAATGAAGCACGGAGTGTAGATCACAAAAACCAGCAAAGCAGCAAAACGAAACTCAGCAGGGAAACAAACAGAAGCCCTGCATCTCAGCCTCTCCTGGCTTTAATGGCTACCTTTGTGCGCTCCTTCTTGGCCTTCTCCAGTTTGTCCATTTCAATCTTCTGAGCTTTTGCTGAGAAAGAACAGAAGTTACAAGAAGCACTAGAAACACTACAGAGCTATCCCTGTCTCACACATTATAAGCAATCACACATTTCAAACTATAAAAACTACCATAAATCTACTTTTTTTTTAAAAAAAAAAAAGCATTACTGCTCAAAATTAATGATTTCAGATGAAAACACCACAGAACTGAATTAAATGCTTCCCAGGCTGATAAGCAGCAACAACATTCATGCACACCCAACCAGAATGACAGAGTTAAAAAGCAACATGTGATGCTTTTCATTTCTAAAGGTGAAGGTTGCAATGCAGTTCATTAACTACAAAACACAAAGAGCTAAATTAGGACAGGAAGAAGAGAGATTTCCTGGAATTACCTAGTGCCTCATAATATGAATCCTCTGACCAGCCATGAGGATCAAACATGTCCTAAAGATGAAAAATAAAGTCACATTAGGGCTATATGGTCACATATATAAAAACCCAGCTCAAAAATGAATGTTTTGCTTTTCACTGACAATATTCATTACTGATGATTTCTTGCACTTCACTTTTATAGGATTGTGTTATGTTGTGAATGAATAAACAGCTTTGAAATCAAAAGGATGTTGGGAGCAAGACGTGCATTCTTCTGCTGTTCAGCTTCCATCCCAAAGGAGTACACACTTCAGCAGTTTTTATTCAGAGTCATTAAAGCAAAGTTGGAGGCACCAAGGCTCAGCACCACGTGAAAACATTCACTTCAGTACAGAGGATCAGACAAAAGTTCCCTTGCAGGACCTCTAAACAGGCAGGCTAAGGAAAGCCAAGTGCAAGAGCTCACAGCCCTACATCAGCTTTCACCCACTGCCTTGACAGGTAAAAAACTGCATCTCACCTTTGGATAATTTGTACCAAGTTCATCAATGGAACAGAACTGGATCAGCTTTTCATAGATGCTGAAAACAAGAAAAGGACAGAGTTTACCTCTAGCTCATTCACCCTTCTTTAAATAGAAATGTTTCAGCTTTTTAGTAAAAAGAAATTGTCACCTCTTAATGTTAAGAGCAAAACTAGAGTCTGTGCAGTTGTGCTTGCTGCAGTGGATGCAGCATGCTGTTAACCACATTATTTCCCACTTCCCTCGGGTCAATCTCCCAGCTCCCACAGCAGACACTCTCCAAACTATTTCATCCAGAGCATGTACAATACTTGAAAACCTATCTGAAATGCTGATCTAGTTATTGCCCCAAAGAAGAGTTTTACTCTTTCAGTTGCAGTCAAACGACGTCTCTCCATTTTGTAAGCAGCAACACCTCTTTCTCAGGATCCTGCTCCTGCCACAGCTCCAACAAGGAGCAGAACTCCTTGATTCTGCTATGTGGTGCTTTGGAAAAGATGGTGGCTCACCTGGGGTTGCGGAATTCCTTTTTCCTTTGAATGATGTAGTTCATATCCATGCCCTCTTTTATTTTCCTCTCATACAGCTTTTGAATCTTATCCTAAGGGAACAAGATTACAGGGTGAGCCAATACAGAAGGGGTGAGTGTTCCAGCTGACTATCAAAGCATACATGTGGAAACAAGACAACTGAACCAGTGACCTCCTTGCATGCAGAAAGGATTCCACCTCTGCCCTAAGGCTAGGCAGTTTGGTTAGTACAGAAACTTCCTGCTTTAAGGTCTGACAGCATCTTCTCCATGCTTTCATGGATAAGGCAATTGGTCTTTACACTTTCTGAAAGCTTCACTGTTTAAAGGTTTGTATTCAAGGCATCAGTGCACACTCCTTCCCTTCAGTAGACAGCAGAAACTAGATCCAGGAGGGATAGGTGAATTCCATGAAGGCTCTTCCACAACATGAAGAGGCCATTCCACACCTCTTCAGACTGAAGGGCATCTGAAGATCAGCTGCTGGGTCACACTGTGTAAAAGTCAAGGCTCATGCTTATGACTGAGAAACAGGTGAGCAGAGCCAAGCTGTGCTGCGCTACAGACACAACATGATCAGCAGGTACTGCTGGTGGGGAATGCTGGCAGCCAAACACTTGCAGGAATGCACTTTAAATCCCTCCTGAGAATATCTCACTGAAGCCAGGACTTCAGACTTTCAAGATGGGAGAGGTGAGTCAGTTTTCCTTTGTTTCTTCTAGATAAGCTGCTTAATGTCTTCCTCTGTACAGGGAGTCAACTGAAATACAAAACTGGCCGTTGTCTAAGAGTTTACAAACTGCTGAATAAAAGAGAACTGTTATAAAACTAGTATTTCAACCAACATTAAAAAAAGACCTTCACAAGATACATTTTCACCAGGTCCTTGCAAAATCAGCATGAAGTGCATGTGTGGTAAGTGCACATGGGGTAAGTTTGGAGGATCATCTGCAAAAAGGAGGCTAATTTGGGGAACTGAAATGACTGAATAGGTGTCCCCTTTTGTGTCCTTCCCTTGGATGCAACAACACAGGTCACATTCATAATGTCCACAAATAAGAAACTAGTAGGTCACCTTCATAACAAGGAATATTCCCTTTGACCAAGTTCAAGGTATAGTTTATTAGGAGAAAAGCTAACAGAAGAGAAACACATTAGCAGTAAAAGCCTGTAACATTCTGAATCTGAAGAACAATCCCATCCCCTTGCTTAAAGTGCTCTAAGATGTGGTTTGACCCTCCAACAGAGGACAAGTTCTCTCCTTTGATTTTACACTGTAAACTGCTCTCAAAGGGAAAGAGAATCTGCTTTAGTATGTCTGTACTCTCAAGCTCTGTTCATTCCTCAGATCTAAGGCACTAACTCATTGATGTCAGAACAATAGAATCCTCCTACAGCATGCAAGGACAAATGGGTGCGCCCAGGTATACTGAGCGGAGAAGAAAGCATGATCTGCATTGGTGAGTCATTCTGAATCACCATTCCATGGTAGCAACTGACTTTATAGAGCATTCCAGAACTGATTCTTTACTTATATTCTTACTGGGCAAATAACTGCAGTTAAATCTCAAACGAATGGCAGAAAACAGCAGTCAGTGCTTTCATTTGCCTTCTGTTGGGAACAGGAAAACAGAGCAGAAGGTGCTTTCACCCTCCTCCTAGGACAGGAGTTTTGTTACATAGAGAAGACTACATAATTTTGCTCAGACCACAAACCAAGGACTGCCATCAGCAAACACTCAGACCAACTCCTTTGCAGACACTGCAAGCTGGATACAGGGAATACTCCAAACAGACATTACCATTTCTGCCCCAACATCAGAGCCAGAGGCTCAGTTAGTAACTCTGCAAGTCTCAGAATGGTGTGAATCAAGTCCCTAGAAAGACTTTTTGTTAATTAACACCCAATTGATGAATAGCCTTCCATCTTCAAACTCTCATGGAAGGAAACCATGACAGTTTTGCACCAATTTAGTTGGTTATTGAGATTACTTGGATGTAAACCACGGGGAAATTCTTTACCCAGAGAGTGGTGAGGTACTGGAACAGGCTGCCCAGAGAGGTTGTGGATGCCCCGTCCTTGGAGGTGTTCAAGGCCAGGTTGGATGGGGCCCTGGGCAGCCTGGTTTAGCATTAAACGTGGAGTTTGGTGGCCCTGCATGTGGCAGGGGGGTTGGAGATTCATGATCCTTGAGGTCCCTTCCAACCCTGGCCATTCTGTGAAACCAGCAAACACACACATCTGTTTTCTTCTGCTGCATCTAGGTTAGCAGCATGCCCTCTGAATGCTTGTCATCCAGCAACATGTAGGTGGAGAAAGAATCTAGTCAATGCTGCCTCAACTATTCCAGTAAGGGGATTCTCAGATCCATGCAGAATAACAAAGATTTGTTCTCTCCTTAAGAGCTGAGTTTGCTGAAGTCAGAGGACAGCAGCCTTCACAGTAAACTTTACTTCTGATTCGCTGATGAGATCAAGAGCCATCTTAAAATATGACCTACACAGACTGTGGAAAAATTTAGCTTTAAGCTAATGTGAGATTCATAAGCTAAAATTCCTGCAAAATGAAAAAACAAACAAAAAAACAACAGTGTATAAACTCACTTTGTTAGGAACTCAGCGATAATGCTGGATTTTTGACTTGTTGACAAAGACTGAGCAGAGTTCCCAAACGTCCCCCCCTCCCTCCTGAAACATTTCCCAACTTTCCACTTTCTATACCAACCTGCAAGTGGTTAGAACATCTGCCAGGAGGCTCAGGAGGGATTCTGATCTCATCTGGAGACATGTTCCGCACTCTCTCTGAAAAAGAAGCTGTGGAGAGCAAACTGGGCATGAGTTCTGGTACTGTGGAAGGGACTTCAAGCCATGCAGATCACTGAAACATTCTATGCCCTTGCTAGTATGATGAACAGTGAAATAGAATGGGTAAAGGCAACTGGAATGATGTTAACTGGTACTTGTGGCATTTTCAAGGTGCTGAGCAGGAAGCAACTAACCTAAGGCTTAATCAGTGGCAGAATAACAGGATGCTGCTGGATTGGTGTCTACCTTATGCTGTGGCTTTTTCACACTCAGGATCCAAGTTGTATTCTAAGGTGCCTTTTTTATCTCAAAGCAGATCTGGAAAAAGCAAGAATACTCCCTACTCCAGCTGGAATTGTTGGTAAGATCCTCAAAGGCAAAGGATCTGCAGAGGAATGTAAGTATATTCATGGAACATTCATCTATCACCCCGTGTTGAGAGCAACACATCAAGCTCTCCGCTAGTCCAGGTCTTCTATTTACACTTCAAAGTCCTGCTCTAAACAGCCCAGATAATGTGGTAGTCTGATTCTTTGTGAGCATCCCATACCTGTGAGTACCACAGAAGCAGCCTGGCTCATTGCCATTTTTGGGGACATTACCTGCTTGGATCCTCTTCCCTTCAAGACCTGCCCACATGAACCAAAATGGTTCGAGAAGCAAACAACCCTCACCCAATCTGTAGGGAGTGAACCACAAGAAACTGCATTTCATCCTTAAGTTAATATTTCCTTAAGGGGCATTCTGATCCTTGCTTAGAGTCAGACTATTACTAGAAAGAACAAATAGTCCTGCAGGACCAAGAACAGACCAGCAGAGCACCAGCTTCCTACAGCTGTTTGTGTTGGGATACACCATTACAGAACCTGACTGCTCCCTAACGATTAGTGTACAAAAACATCAGCAAAAGAAACAGTCACATTCCCTCTATTACTGGCTGCCCTCCCACTCAGTTACAGGAAACCCAGGGAGCTTTCTAGCTGAAGTCTGAGAGCAGAGCACTGTGCCACACTTAAGCCATGGGGATTGTTTTCAACCATAATTAGTACAGAGAGTCACAGTCTGTAGTGGAAAAAAAGACCCAACACCAGCACAGCAGTTGCATTGAGCAAGTCTTTCATATTTGTGGCTCCCCAGTTATATATGCTGGAATAAAAACAGCTTGAACTGAAAAATCCAGCACATTCGAGTCCAGCTCCTTTGACTTAATGCCCAGCCGTTCCCAAAGGGCAAACACTGGCATTTGAGCACAGCATACACTTCTGCCTTCCAGCACAGACCATCAGATAGCTGAGGTTGCAGATAATCAACATTACACATGTTCAGTGCTACTACAGTTTCTGGTTCTTTTACAAAAATGTAGGAGACTATAAAGGACACCAAGGATGACATCCTTTGGGATGCAAAGCTGGCAGGCGACCATTCATTCTCTTTGATCAAGATGTTGTTGAGGGTTAAATTCTTCAGCGGTTGCTAGCAATGAACAAAAAGTGTCCTTTGGCATTTACTAAGAGGGGGCCTCTATGGAGGAAGGAAGCTTGCCAGAGCCCCTACAGAAAGGCAGGGAAACTCCGTGACAACAAGGCAGACATTTATTGTAAGTTACAACTGCTGATTGGATGGCATAGCTTCTAATTTAATTAGAATTTCAGGAACCCTAAGAGACAGTAGCAAATAGACAGAGGTGTTCATAATAGAAAGCACACCAGGCATTCCGGAAAAGGAGAAAGCTGATTAATGGCTTAAGGGATTCACAACACCAGCAGGAACATTAAAAAAAATAAAAAGGCCACAAACCAGATTTCATAAGGCAAATAAATATCCTAAAAAGCAAGCCTGGACATCTCATTGGCTCCTCATCTTCACAGATGACCAGAAAAGCCACAGGGAAGCAACACATCTATGGGTAGGGGCACTGTGGGCTCGAACTTGGGAAATACAGTACCAAACTTGGCCCAGAACTCTGCAAGGCAGTCATTCAGCAATCAGTTCAAAGCTCCCATGAAACAGAAATGACACTGGAAGATGAACAAGAGCTTCCACTGAGACAGTACATTTTTGCCCATAACTTTCCAGGTTTCAGTCTTCATTTGCCCTTTTGTTTGAGCCATGTGAAAACAATAATTTCACAGCATTATACAGATGGGGGAAAGCATCTCAATAGTTCATCATGAAGTAGGACACTTTTGGCTACAGCTTTCCCACTGTACGTGCATCATGTTCCACCTGGCAAATCCAGCACAGACATGAGCACAGGAACATTCAGCATTACTCAGTTATTTCATCACATCACAGCCAGTTTGAGAAGCCACATCATTAGGAAGCAAAAGATGAGTTTTACCCCTTCAGGCTTATATACAGTAAGAAAGTGCAAATAATTCATGCCCTTGAGCAGTCTTCCAACTTCTTCTCCAAAGAGGTATCAGCAAGGCCAACTTCACGGCCACTTCCTACCAAGCCACTTCTGTAGAGGAAGGGGCAGCATGGATTGTCATTCAAGAGGATCCTGGAACTTGTATGAATATCCACAGGCTCCTGTGCAAGAGATTTTGTGTTTTCCAAGTCCCAAGCACTGCACTCCATGGCTATACACTGTTGATGGTCAGCTAATGCCAAGGTGTGTCCTCACAGGATACATCCAACTGCTCTGCATATCCTGTTATTTCAGCCCAGATCTAAGCTTTACTTTTACATGACTCAGTGGCAGTGACACTGGCTGCAGATTCCAATTGGTGCAATTGCTGGCTTGCTGCCTACACGATCTCCACGTGGGGACCTCAGGAAGTTGGCCGTTGGCATGATTAATCTCCCCAGGCACACCCAAGTTCTGGCTCATGATAAGTAAATATCTTCCCCTAATCAGATTCACGGCACAGGCAAAGAGCATTAACAAGAACAAAGCTGTAAAACACAGGTCCCACAACCCAGCTGGGGGTTCAGGGGCATAAGGAGCCAAGGTAGTGCCATGCCAGGAACCAAAAGCATCTTACTTGTGAAGAAGGATGTGGCTACCACTCATGCTCAGTTCATGCATCCTTCCATGAGCTGATCTACAAGTTAGAAGAGGAAATTCTCAGGAGAAGCAATAGGTGCTTGGAACTTTTTGTGTTGCAAGTGCAGACAGTGATGAGAGACATTCAGCTGTTCCTGGGCTACAGGGCCATAGCACAGCCAGCTAGCAGTGCATACCTAGCAAACATTCAGCATCTCAGTAGACAACTGAGGATATCTGCTTGCCAGATCCTGAGGAGGCAGATGGATATAGTGCTTCCATTTAATTGTCAGCTTCAGACAGGTGGGTTATTTGGCCACTATATACAACTACACACCATATACAAGAGTACAGAGAGATATTGCATAGCAGGGCAGAAAGTGCCATACTGTGTGCTCAGTTAATTCCAGAATGACTGCTCACAGCCCAAAGGCTATGCCAGAGACAGGCAAAGAGCAAGCAAACCCTGCTTCCTACAGATGAACGTGAAGTCATAAAGAGCAGAGAAAACCAAATGAATAGAGAGCATAGGAGCAGCTGGCTGAACCTGGGGACCCTGAGATGTTGATCACTTGAGGTCTGGAAAAGCATCTTGCCTCAGTCTTCCGAATACCACTGCTCCCTAGATAGGACTGAAATCTCTTGTCCCCTTCAAGGTTCACTTGTGGTTGCCTAAGCAGCAGCATGCAAGGGATTACAGGCAGTATCAGGTGCCAGACTGTCTATAAAGGTTACGCTATGCAAAGAAAAAAAACACACAAAAACAAGCAAAGACCTGGAGGGGGCAATCAGAGGGGCACAGCTTTTCCCTAGAGAAAACACAAATCACTGGTGCCTGGTCTCTAAAACTGCATTCTTTGGCACTCTAATGAAGTCTGCTTGGCATAAACCAGGGTGTGTGGGTTTCTAATTTCCTGGCACCAGAACAGCCAAATCACAGGGAAGAAGTGGAGGCAACAACATACCAGTGAATCACCCATCCATGGGAGGACACTGGTTCCCTTTCTGCTCTGTGGGCTGAGAAATGCAGAAAAAGACCTGCAACTCAGCCATATTTTCTGCTGCTCTGAACACTGACTTTGTGCTGAGATATCCTAAGAGTTGGGAGAACACTTCTTATAGTCCAAAAGGTAAACAACTATGCTGCAAAGAAAAATGCAAGAAGGAAAACAAACAGCATAGAAATACTGTTTTGCAAGGCTGCAGAAAACAGCAGATGCAGACATGCTGTTAGCATCACGTGCTCTTCGGAGTGCTAAAAAAAATAAAACAGAAACATTGGGGCAAAAAATTATCAAAAAACATTTCATATATGCTTCCTTCTCAACCACACAGGAGTTACTGCTGCAAACCTCCCCTCACTGTCTTTCAGGCTTTGGCTGTACAATCATTAATTCTGTATGAAACAAGACAACCATGCAGTTTCCTAAGTGCTCATCCCAGCTGGTTTTTGTGCCAACTGTAGAGCTCATGTTGCACGTGCTCAGCAGATGAGCGAACAGGTCCAGCTGGGAAGCTCACAGAGGAGAAAAAAATAAGAATAAGGAAGGTGGATCAGTTGAATTTACTGCTCAGATGAACTCAGAGCACACAGACTTCAGCACTGTGCCCAGTGGACGCAAAACAGAACGTTGCTTTTGACAGGATCCAGTATTAATGCTGTACCTAAGCAGCTACATAACCACAGACTTTAATGATGATGATGCTGAACAACGTCAGGTTATCTGAGAAGGGCAAACCACAAGCTTTTAATGGAAAAAGCTACTTTGAAAAACTTCTGAGGGAGACTTATGCTTCCACATACTGATATTAAACAAAATTTTAACAAAATTAAACAAAATACAGATTGAAGCAGTTATTTGCTTTGCGTCGGAAAATCTCACACCTTTCTCCATTCAAGAATCCTAATTCTAAAAGCTCAAGCTTCCTGGGAGGGAGTGGTTTTTACATTACACTAACCAAAAGGCTTAGTGCAACAATTGCTTTTCGACTAGATAAGATATGGCCTAATGCAAAGGACCTCAGAGTCCAGTACAGCAAGTATGCCAACCTACACAAAGCTAGCCTAAATGTTGTTCTGTGCATGCCACATTTGGAAGAGGATATGAAAGCTATATTACAACTTTAATCCAGGCTTGTGACTTACCAATACTGTCCCCTATTAGTATCTGACATGCAAGCCCTCTGTGAAGCACTCAAACCTGCATGCAAGCCTTGGTTATCATAAGATACATGAGATTCAGTCTCATCTCCTGAATGGAGCATTCACTTGGAAAAAAGTAGACTGATAGAACTGCAATCTGAGTCTTCTGCTTGAATGAAGAAAGATCTTAACAATACATTGCTCTACAAGCACAGAGCTTCACTCATTTGTAAAGCAGAGAATTAAGGGCAGATGGTTCTCAGATATTCCTCTGTACTTTTTCCCCTACATGCTGTTGTCTCATCCGTGTTTCTAATGTTAATTTTGGGGCATATGAGCAGTCTGGATGAAAATCTCCATGGTATTCTGTGATAAGACTTGGTTAAAGGAGTTTTGCCCTCTAAGGGGCAATATTTCAGTATAGGCATTGGGTCGGTGCAAAGCATGGGCAGGCCAGAACTTAAATGCAAAAATTCAGGGTGATGACTGCTTTAGGGGTCACAACTTGGCATCTAAGTATTTACTGCCCCATATCTTATTTTACATTTACTACAGTGTGCCTGAAATACTACAGCTGAGCCTGGAAAAGCTGGCTTGATGGATAATTAAGTCAATTCTAAACTCCCCATTTTTTTATGGTACTACCACCTGCTACCATACAACTGTACAAGTAACCTCAGGAAGAAAGGGTTAGTGTGAGATAGTGCAAGCTTCAACACAAAATACAACACTTTACAGCCCCACAGAGATCAAGCAGAGGTTTCTATTTCAAGCTGACTGCACTGGATTTTTCCAATATTTTTTTTCCAAATCTAATAATGGTGCAGTGAATGAGATGTCACATATAATTTCCAACAACCATTACAAAGCACACAGTACTCCACCTAAACATTGCTACACTGAAATTTTTGAAGTCACAGAGCAAAACACCCCCCCTCACTCCTGGTTAAGCCAACTCTCACAAAAGTATCTAGAAAAAGCTACAGCTTTATTGGTGTTTTTCTAGACAAGCCCCAACCCAAGCTACCCTTTACATCTCTCTGAAACATGCAATGTATTTTCAGGCATGGTACTATTCCTAAAAGACAACTGCATTGGGAAAATTCCACTGATGTAAAACACCAGAGGCAGTAACTCAAACTACAGCGTCGCCAGGACAGAGTGAAGATGCTTTTCTGTTGGTTTTCTTTTTTCTCTATACTAACAAAAGGGAGAACCTAGAAGGTCTAACTTGGAAGAAAAGTGAATACTTCTGAACAAACTTACCAACTAGCTCCTGAGGATCTCTTTTCTCCAGTTCTGAGAATTCCTGGGAGAAAGAGGACAGAAACAGATTTCCATTAAAATACACTTCCAATCGAACAAGCCACGTTGTCCATTTGTTTAGAAACTTACATCTTACTTCTGAGACAAAAGAACATCAATTAAGAATGAAATGCATTTTATTAGATAATAGAGCAATGTTTGTAACATGGAAAGTCAAAGCCTAACAGGATGCACCGCTTCCTTTCAAAGCTGAAGTCTAAATTTAACAGAAGAATTAGGATTTTGTTCCTTTGAGTCCCAAACACTCAGCGCCTTTTGAATTCTGCAAAAATGACAGCAACTGCAGGCTTTCCTCAAAAAAGATCAGGCCATAAATTCTCCATTTTTTGGTGCCTGGCCCTTGGCACAGGCCAAGAGTCAATGTTTCAGAGCATTCACATTTGGGAAGAATGCTCTGCTGGCAAGTCTGTCTTGGCTGCTGCTTTCCAGGAGCTGATCTGTTCATCCAGGAGCTCCAAGGTGAACCACTGACTTGCATACTCTGTTTAGAGATCTTCAACACAACCAGTCAGTCCTTCCTTCATTACATTAATATAAATTAAGGCAGCTTCAATTGCAGGAGCACAGCACATGTTTGGACTACAGTCTGCTAAGTAGGAGTGTTATGCAGGACAAGACATTTGTAAATACACTTTCACCACGCTGAGAGTAACATTCAAGCATTTTGGTACTTATGTTAAGCCCCAGGGGAGTCACAAGCAATACCATCTCAGCTTCTGAAATAGTATCAGCTGTATTCTAACATTGTCCTCTCCCCCTGCCTCCCTCCCTAAGACTTTTTGTGACTCACTGGACTGCGTGTCCAAAATTCCTCAGTGCCTCTGAACACAGAAGCTATTCATTCAACCTGACACAGACAAAATGCTGTCTCCTCGCTGCTTGGTAACCAGGCTCTAAATCCCCTCCTTTACTCCATTTCCAGTCAGGTGAGAGATGGACAAGGTGAGGAGAACAGAGCGAGGTCAGCATCTGGGAACAGGCTGGGTCAAATTCACACTGAAAACTCAAAAATTTCCAGAGAAACCAGAGCCCTCACGGAGCAGAAAAACAAATTCTTTGTGTGTCACTCGCTGCTGTGTGGCATTTTTTTTTTAATAGTCATTCATGAAAAAAAGCACTGTTTCTCCTTAAGTACGCTTGGATCACAACAATAAAAGGCTGAAGTTATTTTAGAAAAAAGAAAAGGACACGAAGGAACACGCATCTCCTTGCTGGCCAGCTGGCAAGGCACCAGGATCCCAGCACAGCTTCCAGCCGCTCTAAGCCAACGCTCTCGATGTAACACATCAACACCTCTTCTCCTCCCAGGGTCTTCAGAACAGCAGGGGAAAAAAGATAAATGAGAAACAGCATTTCAAAGCAAGATGTGCCATGAGAAGGAGTTCTCTGGTGGGAGCACTGGATATGAATTCAGCTGCATCCTCCACGGACCCAGCATGAAAGAGCGGAGCCTCATGTTACCACCAGGGAAACGGAGATGATTCCACAGTAACTGTCAGATTATGAGGACAAATTCAGATTGTACAGAAGTGTTGCACACAGGCTGGAAAGGTTCATAAGCTTCCCTTACATCTGTAGCTCTGTATCCAGGAGCAATATCATTATCCATTCGGCAGCAAATGTTTGGCCCTGCACAGCCTGGTCTAGTATTGAACGTGGAGGTTGGTGGCCCTGCATGTGGCAGGGGGGTTGGAGATTCATGATCCTCGAGGTCCCTTCCAACTCTGGCCATTCTGTGATTCTGTTAGGTCAGAAGGCTGCTCCACCTCCCTGGGGGGGAGAACTTGCTGCCTACATATTTAGGTTTTCACCTTGGTTTGAAACAGCAAACAAATATTTGGTGGGATGAAAGGAGGGCTGCCATTGTTTCAAACTTAACTGAATTACGTTTTGCCAACTTCCCAATTTTTTGTTATGAACAGACTTGAGAGGGAAGAGGAAGAAATAGACTGCTTCCCTGAGCACCTCCAGATCCCCAACCTTCACCCAGCACTGTGCTTCTTGTTCCATTAACAATCCCACTGCTTTCCTGCCCAAGCCATCAAGGAGGAAAATCCCTAAAGTGACTGTCTGTACCAAACATGTCCTCAAGCAACCCAACAGCACGGCCAAATTCAGGAGCTTTAGACACGGCTGCCCTCTGACATGGCCTGTTAGCAGGGTTACAAGGGTATGAGCTGCATTTCTGAAGTTTTTAGAAGCCTGTTTTCAAGTCTCAGGAGCAGCACACAGGATGCAAGCAGTAGTATTCTGAGGGACAATTTGATGGCCCAAACCTCCCCAGGTACGTACCACACGCTAGACAAATCTCTTTCTAAAGTCAGATGTGTTGAATAGCACGTTTCATGAATTTCTGGAATTTGTAAGTTTCCTGCAACTAGAAGTAGATATTTCTTTAACTTATACCTTTCAATCTTAGAGCTTCATCACGAGCCCACTCAGTGTACAACAGGCCAACTAAAGCCAGCCTTAAGCTGCTGCTGTGTATTCATCTGCCCACATTGCCTACCCTCATTCCACCACAGCCACTCAAGCAAGTCCAGTCCATACATCCTCAGGTCAAAGCTAAGACATTAGAAGCCCTAGAGCTACATCAAACAAAGGAGAACAAACTTGCTAACATTATAGCCACACCTCACTCCCCAGAGGATATGAATTTTGCTTACTGACGAGTTTCACCCACTGCTCCATCATTAGCAAGCTGAAGACATCAGCACAGCTTTTCATTAAGTTGGATTGCTTTCAAGCCTCCCAAATGCCTTCCAAAAACAAAGGGTTGACCGACTCATGCTACAGCATCTGCTTGTATTTGCTTGGTTTACTGTCCAACACCATAGCAAGGCAAGTACCAACAGCCTGACCGCAGACATACAGCTTGGCAGACAAGAGGTTTAAGAGAAGTCTTGTTCAAACCTCTCAGCATCTGCTGAAGATCCAGGAATTCAGAACAGTCAAACCTTTGGTTGAATAACACTCCCAAAAAGATTCCTTACACTTTCCTTGGCTAATTTAAGTCTTGGACAAACACTAAATATAATGAGTTGATCAGAAGAAGGGACAGAATTTTTTAAAAAAACAAACATTTTCTGCAGATCAAATTCAATATTGTGGTTCAATGAGACAGAAAAATCAGTAAATGGGGGTAATGAGGGACAATTAATACTGCAGAGCTACGTTTTAGTTGTGAGAAGGAAGATGTATACTATGCACAGATAAGATTTCTAAAGCAATGCCAAGGCTTTTAAACAATGGAACATTTAGAATATAACTGGACTTGGGGAAACCATCTAGATCCATTCAGGGCAAGTTTATCTCTTTATAGATTGCTACTTCAACATCCAGTCCTATATACCAGCATCTAATATGAAGATAGCTGAGTGGTTCCAACATTACATCAAATCTCTCCATCAGAGTCAGCTTACAAAAGCTATTAGAGCCCTCAAATATCCCAGAGCTCCAGACAGTACTTACTGGGTTCTATTCCATTTGGATCCTGATCACTGAAAGCACAGTTAAGATATCACTGGCAGCCCCTTCCAATACTGCACAGTTTTCACAAACCCAACCTCTGAAGGCTGTACAGGAGCACCTCTGAGTTGACTTTAGCATCCAGGCTCTCACAGCTTACACAAAGTCAGCTTGATGCATCAATTATACTGAAAATTATCTCTAACATCATTGAAATACAAAGCCCATGCAAGAAAAAGGCGTTCCCTGCTCATTCTTTTTCCTCTAGCCTCTTTATTCCATCTAGTATTACATGATGACCCCTAAGAAAGCTAGACTAAGATTTAAAAAAAAAATTAAAAAAAAGCAGCATTGCATTTTTCTCTCCACATACTCTGTAAGCTGATTTCATTTTGCAACCTGGATTTCACAAGATCAGCTGGTAAAGGCCCTGAAGACAGATGGCTCTGCTCCAGCAGACCGACTGGAGTTAGCCAAGGGATGCCACAGCAGCTCAGATCCAAGTTGGGAGAGGACTTCAGGACAGCATGACAAGCAGGAGACAGATTCCTTTCCCTGATCCAGACACTAACAAATGACAGCCTTTGAAGAGCATAAACTGCTAAGGGCAAAGTAATAAAATTTTAACATCTAACTGGCCAACCGAGATAAGTCACAACTTCTGTGCACTTAGGAGTGATTCTGCACACCACAGATACCACCTCACAGATGGCAGAAAACAGTTACTGCAGCACTGCTCCTGGACACAGCCAGGAAAAGGTTTTCCATTTCCATTTCTAGCCCAGACAAATGCTTTCTTCAAGCCCTGGGAAAGGCAATGCTGCCTGTGAGATCCTAGCTGATAGGAACCCAGTCTGACAGTTAGGTTTTCAAGATTTGTAATCAGTTAAGGAAGAACAGTGAGCAGAAAGTGGATGTGCATTTGCACAGGAGGAGAGCAACACTTTGGCTTATGACTACATCTCAGTGTGGTGAGATATGGACCGTTTTTTCAATAATAGTGTTTCCATTCAGTTACATTTAAAAAAGCCTCTGCTCAGGTTTCATGGAGAAGAAAAACAACCAAACACAGTCCTTGCAGTGTTAGAACAGAGATCAACGGAAGGAAACAAAAACAATATGAATCTGAGACTGATGAATTCGAGTTTGGAAAGCCTTGCCCAGAACAGCTTTATTTAATGGAAAGAATGAACTGACTTACAACAATGCTTGCTAAATCCTTCCTGAAACAAGATCCATAAATCCAGTACAAAGCTCACATTGGACATAACCACTGGCACTATTGCCAAAGGGTACAAATCCAACCTTCAATTTCTCATAGAGGCAGTCGCATCTGCAGGTTGTTAGCACAGGTGTACTTCAAGCTATAAGAAATGGTTGAGCAGGGAGATGGGGAAGAAAGACAACAGAAGGTGATCATTTTAAGTTATAAGCCATAAAAAAAATGGAGACATCAATGCCAGATTTGCCACCACTCAATTGCTTTCCCAGACTTGCAGTCAACTTAGCACTGCA